GCACCTGTTCTTTTGTTTTATCTGAAATGATGAATTAAAAATTACTTGTCATTTTTTAAGGGCTTTGCTACAAAGATCACATGTCATGTCCGGGTTTTATTATAATTAATCATTTGCTTGTCAAATATGCACCATAACTTAGTGTGATAAGACTCTCTAGACGGGTTTGGACAGGGTGTTGCAGTTTTTCTTTTTTTTTTTTGACATGCACAGCTAAATCTGCCTACAACTAGGCGGGGCTTCAAAAAGGAAGTTATTTAGGGCGTGTTTTAAGTTTATTTTCATCTGTGAGCAGAGCCTCAGAGGAGAAGGGCTGATATCATTTGTTTCTGAAAGACAAAATGAATAATACCAGTTGTCCTCAACCAGATAAGAAGAAATTATTTGAACATACAATTCTGCCAACTCTTCACATCTTGGTGTTTATTGTTGGACTGATTGCTAATGGATGGGGATTGAACTCTTTGCAGCGCAACTGGAGGNCTGAAACTAGATGAAAAGGTGGTTGAACAAGGTGTTGTGTGTGCAAAGTCATGCTAACAGGTTATTGCAGCTTTTTTTTTCATCTTCTCCCCCAACCAGTTTGTTCATATTTCAGTTTAGCCGCAGGACTCCTGGCAACACTTGTCCAACATCTACATCAGCACTCACTGTACTGCACATGTTGCCTGAAAGCAGCCAACAAGAATACATTATCCTAACTTCACAGTTAGGCTAATAAAATTATTTATAGCTCACAGCTAGCACAGATCAGCTCTCTTCGCAAGATGTCGGAGGTTTTCTTTTCAGTACATCTGTGTATCTTGCACTGTGTTCTGTTTAGTCTGCTGCACTTTTGATTTCTGATGTTTTAGTTTAACACCTGTCTTGATGGCTGCAGACCCATGTTCATTCCCTTTACTTGTGACCAAAATAAGAAGAAATTATAAATTCTTGGGGCTTTTAATGCATATTTACAATTTTAGAAAATCCCTGTGGATGTGTTTGTTTTATTTAGAGGGTCTCTAATTGCATTAAAGTGCCAGTAATACGCATAAAAAACTCAATTAATACTCAGAAAAATGAAGAAATGCTGTAAGCTGTAATTATTTTTGATAAAAACAGCACATTGTAAGTACACTCTCTTTAGTAGGAGACATTGGCATGGACATTTGCATGGATGGAATGGTAACTTTTTAAACATTAGTCAGTTGTGAGTGACATTTTACCAGTAATGTTAAGAGTTAAGAAGGAGGACGTTAGCAATTAAACAATTATTAATATGCCCATTGAATCAGATAGTAACAGTTTTATGCATTTAATTTTATATTAAAATAATCTTGACCATGTTGTGCTAGTCCTTGGCCTGCAGTGGGCTGCTGCATGAATGAGACTCATTGGATGTATGCAAACCTTTTGTTTTGCTGTCTGCAGCCTTGCTGAAGGATTCATTACAATGTGTCACATTAAATCACTTAAACATTTTGTTTTAAAAATATTTCAAATATGTCCTTAATTTACACATTTTGTCTGACAAAAACTTACAGGAACTAAGTTAACTGTGTCTCACAGGTAGGATCTTGACTTCACAAACTTCTCCAAATATATTTAATCACTGAGTAAATATATTTGGCCTGTTAGGATCTCAGACCACAGATTATATAAATAACCCATTTCATGCATAGCGGACAGTGGACAGCCAAAAGCCGTTTTCTTGTGAATATGTGAGTTTTTATTTTGTAAATGCACACAGACCACTAAAGTGAACACAAGTGCATCATGCAATACACTGGCATCTACTGGCCATCCACTGCAAGTGAAAGAAAATTTAGTTAAATCCAATATGGCAGACAGATGAAAAAGGATGCCGACCATCTCAGGAATATCCAGTCCCTCCTTCTAGTGTAGAAAACTCTTGCAGGTAAAAAAAATATTGTGACATCAAGCAACCCCTAAAGACTAATACTACCGATGTATTTTCCAAATAACAACTTTGAATTTGGAGAAATTACAACTGATCACCTGTCCACTGAAGTGGATGGCATACATTAGTGGCAATATTTTGACAGGTATTTATTGATGTCATTGCTCTGACTGTAGATCTACAATATGCACCATTACCAGCAAATATTTTGGCTGTAAAAACATTGACTTATATTTTAGTTCTTACCTTGAATATTTAAGGAGAAAAGTCAATTGTTGCCATTTTAATTTGTAACAAAGTTAGGCTTTATTGTGGTTCTTAAAATAACTATTTTTATTTATATTTGAATGTTTACATCTTTCTAAGATGACCATGATGGACAGAGTGACTTTAAAGACCAATACATTAAAACCCTTCTCTTATATTCTTTTTAACTAGTTGAAACCTTTAATATAATGTGTGTTGTTCTTTGACAAAAGCTGAAACACAATAGTTCGCTTTCCTTATATCCAAGAAAATTGGCATAGTAGCTTAATATTTAGTTCTGCGTACATTACCCGTAAACGTAATATTCAGCTACCTAAATCAGAATTTAATATCTAGTTCGTAAGCTAAATACTTAGCTTGCTAAATAAATATTTTGTTTGAAACTGTGGTATTTACCAATGGATGAATAACATTGTGATAATATGACTGAAAAATGAACCTCCATTGTTTTCTCTATCAACAGGCTAAATTACCCAAATTATTGCTGGTAATCTGTGACTGTGTAATTTTATAGCATGTTGGAGATTATCCTTTCTCCAGCTTGGTTGGAGATGTAACGTATGAGGTTCAAGAAGAGTCAGCGAGTTGAAATCAATACATCGCTGATCCAGCGCCAGGTTTCCTTAGGGGAAAAACCTCCGCCTTCTGTCTAAGGTCCTGATGTCATTTCCTTAATTTATGTGTGTATACACGTGCATGCGTGTGCAGGCATGTGTGTGTGTGCTTCCACGGCCCGGTCCCAATACTCAGGCTGCACCCTACGCCTCTCGATGAAGTGTGGACTCGGTTGAAATGCACATAAAGGTTTGAGTGCGCAGGTGTGCAAAAATGTGAGAATCGAGACAGTACGCACCGTGACGTAACTTTGAGATCCAAAATGGCTCGACTGGTCGCTGCTTAGGCATTTGTGCTGCTAAAAAGTACAAATATAACAATAAAAATATTTTAAATGTACTTTAAAGGTATTTTTGCTTTCCAAAGTCATCGCTGGATTTATATTACAGTTCAAATTTGTTTTATGACTTGTCGAATGCAGAACAAAATTCAATGGAATGACACATGTTTAGTAGATTGAAACAAAAATTATTTCAATACTTTTGAAAGCTGATTTTTTTTCTTATTTTTTGCAACAGACCCAGCTTGCACCTGTGAACATTGCCATATTTCCAAAATGGCAGAAAATATACATTAAAATGTACAAATGTTCAATTTAACAGTCTGCGATTTGACTAATTAGAAACATGATTACATATTCAGCTGTTACTCGGAAAAACAAAAAACTATTTTATGCAGCTATAATGATTGCTGATGAAAGACTGGCATTAGCCTGCGTGTTCACACAATTGGAAAAAATTTATATTACAACAATAGTTTTTTTATTTTTACTATACCTAATGTGTATTTTTACACAATGAAGTGAGATTTTTTTCCCCATTTAACTGGAGATTTTTGCATGGAAACCTTGCAACCTTTTGCTGCTGCTGCTTTCTTTTTTCTCCATTCAGATGTTTTTATTGCTGAAAATTCTGCAGCTCTATTGGTTTTGTTGCTGCAGCATATATGTATTATGTATCCTGCACGCGCACCCATCCACACGGCTGTTACTATTGAACCAAAACAAAAGAATGCATTATTGTGGTATACATGATTTACTCAACAGTTGCTCTGCATTGTTCTCCATTTTTAATCATTTCTATTTATTTATTTATTTTTGTATTTCTTTCACTTTCAAACGAATAAAGTCTGCTCAACAACTGTAATAACAACAAGCCTACACTAGCCAGATCTGGACAGGATATTGCAGTTACATGCACAACCAAATCTGCCTGCGGGTAGGCAGGGCATCAAAAGAAAGTTATTTAGGGCGTGTTTTCCCGGTTCCCGGTGAAGGGCTGAAAGGACTTGTTTCTGAAAGACAAAATGAATACATCCAACTACTCTCGACCCAATACGAAATTATATGAACATACAATTCTAATACATGACAATACTAATACATATAATACATATAAATAATTTGGTTTAAACACAAAGTATTACTCAGTTTTACATGGCAACCCCACTGACAAGGCCCCAAGCTATTTCTAATCTTTACTCTGAAATTTTTTGGAACTGAAAGTATTCAACCAGTATAGCATTGGATCTCTTCAAAAACAAAAAAGAAGCTCCTTACTGTTTTTTTTTGGTTGAGAGCTTATTTTTGCCCTAATTTTATAAAGTTACTGTATCATTTTTGTTTTTGAATAACTTCATTTCTAACTAAAAACTGCATTGTTTCCAACTGCCTTCTCTCTTCATTACCAGACCTTATTTATTGTGTGAAACCGGACCAACGGGGGACATAATGGTGTAAATTACTCAGAACAATTGAGGAGATAATTGAACTCAGTGAAACTCAGGAACAACCCAAGAACAAAAAAATCTTTAATGTAATTGAAACTGATGGAGGACCAGAGCCAACATTCATAGTAAGGCCATCTTGTCACTAGTATGCAATTAGTCAATAATTCCTCAGTTGATGTAAAAGTACTTGTTCCATTGGCATATTATTTCATTTATAAGAAGACATTTATCCCATGTCATATGTTAATATTCCAGTAGAACTCGTATTTTATCAATATTAAGGAATTATTTACTAAAAACAAGCTTATTTCAAGTGTACTAAGATATTTACAGTAGAACCTAGACCAAAAAATAAGATTTTGTTTTTGCAGTGCACCTGTTCTTTTGTTTTATCTGAAATGATGAATTAAAAATTACTTGTCATTTTTAAGGGCTTTGCTACAAAGGTCATATGTCATTTCCAGGTTTTATTATAATGAATCATTTGCACTTCTTAATTTCTCTTTCACTTCCAAAGAAGTAAAATCTGCACCATAACTTAGTGTGATAAGACTCTCTAGACAGGTTTGGACAGGGTGTTGTAGTTTTTTTTCTTTTTCTTTTTTTTTTACATGCACAGCTATATCCGCCTACAACTAGGCGGGGCTTCAAAAAGGAAGTTATTTAGGAGTGTTTTCTTTCAGTTTATATTCATCTGTGAGCAGAGCCTCAGAGGAGAAGGGCTGATATCATTTGTTTCTGAAAGACAAAATGAATAATACCAGTTGTCCTCAACCAGATAAGAAGAAATTATTTGAACATATAATTCTGCCAACTCTTCACATCTTGGTGTTTATTGTTGGACTGATTGCTAATGGATGGGGATTGAACTCTTTGCGGCGCAACTGGAGGAAACTGGGGAATATCAACATCTTTGTCCTAAATCTTGGGCTAGCAGATATTTTGTATCTGCTCACTCTCCCCTTTCTGATCGTGTACCACCTTAAAGGAAACAAATGGATCTTTGGAGAAGGATTCTGCTTGGTAACAAGATTTTGCTTCAACCTGAATCTGTACTGCAGCATTGGATTCCTCACCTGTATAAGTGTGTACAGGTACCTGTCCATCGTCCATCCTATGAGATCAATGGGGAGATTGACTACGACTCACTCTGTGATCATCTCAGTCGTTGTTTGGATTCTGGTGGGAGCTCAAAGTCTCCCAGACATGTTCTACCCAAAAACATTTCAAAACGGATCAAAATGTTTTGACAGCACCTCAAATGAACATATGGAGAGTTACCTGAATTACTCCATCATATGGACGTCATTTGGATTTTGCATCCCATTCCTTATCACCATTTGGAGCTACGGACATGTGACTCTGGTTGTCTGCCGCTCAAAAACGATTGACCAGGACCTGAAACAACGAAGCTTGAAGCTGTTGGTCATTCTGATTCTTCTCTTCTTGCTTTGTTATGCACCCTACCATGTCTTCAAGAACCTCAGCATGTATTCCAGAGTCCTGATACATCAGGAGACATGTCCCAAATGGGATTCAGGAGTCTTCATTGCTCGTCAGGCAAGTCGTGGTCTTGTAAGTCTGAACAGCGCTCTTAACCCGCTGGTTTACCTCCACGTTTATGAAGACATGGGTGCTCACCTCAGGCAGCAGCTGCAGGGAGGTCAACAGATGTTCAGCCGATTGTTTAAGTCAAATTCCTGCTCTGCGCCGGTACCACAGAGTGAACCAGATGAAGTGTGACATTTTTCTTTTTGATTCAATATAATAATTGGTACCTTTTTATATTTTTGTATTGTTTTTTATGTTTTGTTTTCTTTTTTCTTATGTTGTCAGATGCAAAAACATTTAATAAATTTAAAATGAAGTCAGATCGGTTTCGATGTTTTACTAGAATAGCAATAGAATAATGAGAATCCTATTATTTTAGAATAATAAGACCTTGTACAACGTTAGTTAGTCCACTTTTGACTTATGCTTATATTGGTGTGTTAGAATCTGGACTAGAGGGAATATATTTTATAAAATTAAGTGGTATACTGATCTGAAAATATATTTGTCACACATACAGTTTCAATATTTACAAACACCCCTCCCAAACATGAACATCTTAATTATTTTATGTTTTATGTGATTCATCTTTTATCAAAGATCTTGATTATTCACCGCAGAATTGCAGTGCTTACAAAACGGTTTCAGTTGTCGTACATGAAGCAGCATTTCTGTAGAAATGTTGCAGGTACCAGAACCTTTTTGCCAGTTCATTAGAAACGACATTTTTCTTTAGATGGCAAACCAAGTGTTACTAACAATTTTAAGGAAACAGCACCAACATTCATATTCATGTCTGAAAGCAAAAATAACGGTTATACTTTTAAAGCTAATTACAGCTTTACATTTTGAACAGTTTTGATCTCATTTACATGTTATTTAGGAAATTAACTTGAATATAGCACATGAACCGCTGTCAGTGTCACTGTGTCAAATCCTGAATGTGAGCTGAAACTCTGCCTTCTTCTTCTTCCAACAGATAAAGTAGTCATGCACACCCTGACTGGAAATTATAGCAGTGCAGAATTAGAATTTGTTGTTTTTCTTCTAGGCACTATAAGTGTTTCTAAAACAGGAAGACACTTTTTTTAAACAATGTTTGGTGTGGTGTCAAGACGCAGTAGCTTTTTCCATCTGACAATGCAAAACACATTTTTTCCTGTTACCAATTTCTGCTTTTCTGATGTACCTTTCAAGAATTGTTGTGTGATTATAAACCTGCAACAGTTTTCTGCACTAGCCTCATGCATAGCAGCAATAGATTTAGGCAGGACTCAGAAACCTTTGAAAGTATTCATTCTGTTCACACATTGAGTTGAGATTGAAAAACTGCCTTGCAAAGTAATCAACTCAAACATATACATAAATATTTATATGCTTTAATGAAAACATCAAATAATGACATGCATTGATATGTGCAGTTGTACATGTACTTAGTTTAGCCATGTGGCAGCACTACAGAAAACTCTTTAGCAGCTTTTTCAGAGACATATTAAGGATTCCCATGTGAACTTATTTCATTTTAAACTTTGAGAATTTACATCTTACAATAATTAAATATTACTCATTGCTGATATGGAAACTAAGTGAATTTGGAGGTTTTGTTGCATATTACTTTCCACTCCTGTATGCTCTCCTCAAAGAATCCATAAAAATGCATTTTGCAAATGAGCAAAAACTAGTACAGTCTTTGATTGTTTTGGCAGCACTAGTCAGTCACTATCGCTATTTACAGTTTGAGACATTTGTAAATAATTAAACTTTTCATAACGACAACAAAGTTCTAAGATTTCCAAGTGCCACCATATTGACAGACACATTAAAATAGCAATAAAGCTAAACAATCCGTTTTCATTTTTCAGTATCTTGCTACAAAATAATAACAATACAAAAACAATTAGAAAATAATCTTATAAACTGCTGAATAAAAATGTGATATGCAGTAGTGTTGGTGCTGCCTTTGCTAATGTTTTTCTGCTTTTGTTTAATAGCAGACAAAGACTCTGGGTAATGGGTTTTGTATCCGATTCATTGTTTCCATCTCACCAAAAGAGTTGCCTTGTTGCCCAAAAAGTTAACATCGAAACTACTAATCTTCTGATAAGTAGTAAATAGTAGTAATAGTTGTTCCAAAATGTTTTTTACTGGAGTATCAAAAATGGTTTCATCAGGTATATACTGTGGTGTTTATTGAGGTTAAAACTTTTTTCACCATATTATTGTTTAGAGGACATATTGTGTGGCTCATGATAGTATTCTCAAGAAAATGTATATGGTAATACCCTGTACATTTTTGCTCTTGCTGACTTACAAGAACTACCTCTATTCAAGCTTAGACTTCCTGTTTCTTATCAAACTGTTAAAGCAGGCTCTACAGGAAACCAAGATCAACAAAATGATAAGTAACATAATTGCTAAACAGAATGCCATCACATCTAGGCAGTAGTAGGCATACCATGGCAGCTTATAAAATTCGGAGCGCAAGTGTGGCGCACCCCGATGCCTCATGACATACTCGATCCAGAATACAGCACTGTCAAGGGGTTTCATTGGTTTGTCATGATGAACCTGTGATAGTTTGACCATGTTCTGCTTGTAGGGCTTTTCTGGATCTAAAATGGACTTCAGAGCACTTTTCAGAGAGTCAACAGTCATTTTTGTCACGTCGACTATCTCAGCCACACCTCTTGCCTTCAGACGGATGATGTTGTCGTACTGGTCAAAGATGAGTGGAATGCCTAGAACTGGTACACCATGGTAGATGGCCTCGTAGATGCCATTGGTGCCTCCGTGTGTGATGAAAACCTTAGTTTTAGGATGGCCAAGGATGTCATTTTGAGGCAACCATTTAACCAGCATAGTGTTGTTCCCTAAAGCAGCTGGTTGTTTACCAATATGTCTCCACAAAACTTTCTGGGGGAGGCTGGCAAACGCTGATGCAAAAGTTTCTGACACCTCAGGGCCAAGGTCACTCAGCAGAGTGCCCAGAGTCATCACAATTACTCCGTGTTCACCAGAGCTCTGCACAAACTCCTCTAAATCCGATGACAAAGGCTTGGATGGTTTACCTTGGAAGCCCCCAATGTAGATGACGTTGGGCATAGTGGGGCGAGGGAACTCAAAGGTAAAATCAACCCGCATTAGCCAGAGATCTGCAGCCTGTATTAGAGACAAAGTATTCACGTCATCTCTAAAATATTTATCACATATAACCCGGTATTTTGGACCAGAAACAAAGTATTGCATGTAGACCAACATGCCGTGAAAGATAATATTATGGATTCTTTGGAAAAAGTGCATTTTGTCAGAGAAATGGGAGAACACAGCAGGAATGTAGGACAGTGGAGAAGGAGCGAGAGAAAAGTGACCCTCTCCACCGGGAATCCAGCGTACATTCAACACCAAGGGAAGCTTGAGATAGTGTGCCAGCAGCACTCCTCCTGGGGACTCAGGGTCCGTCAGAAAAAGATCATATCCAGTTTCATTTAGCTGCCTTATCAGAGTCTCATTCTCAAAGATGCTGGTGACCATTTTTACTGCACCCTTCTTTCCTGCACCTCCAAACAAATTGAACAGATTCCTGTAAAACTGAAAGAAAGCCCATAATGTTCCTTTATTTTGACGGATTTCCATAGACCTCTGCAGGAAGGAAGTCATGACTTCTTGGCTCTCGAGACTTTCTGGCTGCTCCTGGGCAATCGTAATGGACGTGTAAAGGGGGGAAAATTCAGAAATGTACCAGCTGGTTGAGGAGCGGAACACCGTTATTTCATGCCCCCGAGAATGTAACGCCTCCAGAAGGATTTTCATGTTCAGCCAGTGACTCCCATCCACTGGGAAAACCAACACTTTTCCACTGTCACCAGTAGACAGCAGCGATGCAGACAACAGTAGGATCACCAGAACTGGACTCATTTCTGTGAAACAGACACAGAATGTCAGATTCAGATTAACTTTATTTTGGTAAATTTACAATGTTAAATAAATAAATAAATAAATAAATAAAATGCTATTTTGCAAACCAATAAATTACCAGTAAAGGAATAGGCTAAAGCATACTTTATCCATAGACTCAGCAGCTAATGTCCATATACATGCATGCATGTACACATACACTGATTTATATTTAAATATGCATGTATACACATACATTGCATATATATCTTTACAATAACAGCTAAAAATTTGGATTTTGGATACTTTTGTTTGGACCTAAGAGAAGTATGTTAATTGTTTCCAGTACTTGTGCCACTTTAGAAACATTTGAACTTCTAAAGCATCCATTGCCACAACTGGAGTCAATAAATCAAGCAAATCTCTCTATATAATAACAAAATAATAATAATAAAGAAACAGTGGTGTAAAATTTACCTTTCACAAACTTCTATCCAATTTCTGTTTTTTCCCAGGTTATTTAGTTTTATACTTGATCTTTTGTATTTGAAAATATGTTTTAATTCAAACCCCTTAAAGTTTATTCATCCAGGAACCCAAAAATTAACAGAAAAATCAATCCCACTTTTCCTAGAAAACATCTTGACAATATTGAAGACAAATTGAGAAGACAAAAGTAAAACCTGTTGTGAAGGTGCAAGTCCAATTAAAACAACTTTTCAGGAAAAAAAAAATTAGAAGTTAAAAAGTGGTGGTAGTGGTTTGATGGTCTCTAGCTGCTTTGCTACTTTAAGGCAAGACAATTTTGTTTGCGTCACATATTTTCAGCAACAAGGCAACTCAAAGTGATTTACATGTTTATCTTATCGTAATATATTTTCAAGCAGTCCAGTCAACTCCTCCAATTAAATCAACATCTCTCTCTACTGAATATGAATGACTACAATCGACAGTGCTTGTTGTTTACGTTGGAGTTTTTCCTTTTTTTGATCATATTTCTGTTACCACTATTCTCGGCTTCGTTGTGACTTTTTACCTGAGCCACATCCTCTAACCAGCAACCTAATAAGATGGTTGCTGGTTAGTTATATGTGCACTTGTTAGCACATATAGCTTACATGTGCAAGCTATATGTTCTCGAGACAGACAAGCCAGAGAGAAACGTGAAAAAAAAAAGATGAACAGACACAAATACAGATGCAGATACAAACAAATCATGCAACTGTACATGTTCTCAAGTTGGAAAGTTTGATTGCTTCCAAGTTTGATAATGCAGAACATGCATAACTACATGCATGATTGCAGGGTGTATTATTGTGTATTATATGCATAGCGGCCCGCCATACTTCACTAGCCCCCCCTCCAAGTTAAGAGGCTAAGCGTTGCTTGTTTTTTTATGAGAAAAGTTAAAAATCCCCCCTCAAAAAAACAAATTCATAAATTTAATCCGGATTGCTAGCGTCTCTGTTGCTCTGAGCGTTAAAGTTGTAATT